CCGCAGTTCGGCGTCGCCAGCTCCTGCAGCTGCTGCGCCGCGTGCCACCATCGCGCCGACTGTGCCAGCCTTTCATTCAACTCAGTCAACGGCAGCTGTCGGCTTTACAGTAGCACCGGGCACTACGGCATTTTTGTTTCTGACCACAGGAATGAAAATAGTCAGTTCTTTTTTATACCGGGTAAGTCAGGCCCTGGTGAGTTCTGCGTGGAGGACGGCGACTGCACCGAACCGGAAAACCACTGTCGTGGTAGACAGTGCACCACAAGGGAAACCATCTCCTGCAAGGATCTCAGGGGTCAGTATGGAACAAACATGGCTGACGTACCACGCTTCTTCATTGCCATTGGCAACGAGACAGCCAGTGTATTCTGTTTGGGGGAACGGACACTGATCTTTAGCTGGGGTGAGAACGACGACGCCTGGCAGCACCAAGAGGCTCAGCACAAGGATTCCCTCTCATCCAAGCGTTTTTCGCTGCTGCGCCTCGCTGACAAGCTCGTCGCGGCGAGCGGCGCAGATCACTACCGGATCGAAGTCTCCTGGCGGCGGGGAACGAGAGCTGAAGCGAGGCTCAGTGGCAAGGTGCCGGCGTGGGTGTCGTTGGCCGGCAGCCAGCCGCTGCCGCCCGGCACAATGCAGATCGACACGGTCAGCGGCTGGATTAGTGACGCTTGCACCCAGGACCAAATGACCGTGCCCTGGCTGCCCGGCGAGGGCGCGACGCTGCTCACCGCCAACACGGACCCGGACCCGGCCCGCTGCGGTGTTATCGCTTCGCAAGACAGGAACATCGTCTGGCTGGATGACTACACTGCCGAAAAAAACAATGTGAAGTATTACATAAAGGAATAAGGCGCTCTTTGATCACCCGTGGCAACTGAGACCACATCGTCATATGCGTTATATATATCAAACCCCTAAACGCACCTGGTTCCAAAAAGTACGTTGAAAATCAGACAAACGTCATATGCTTAATTAGGTCGATACGCTTTTGCTCTGCATGTAAAGTTTTTAGACCAAATAAAACGTCGACAAAAAACGAGAGTTTGATAAGACAGGTGTTTGCAGACTTGGTTGGCTAAGTGACGGAGCATCCATGGACAAGTCACGTTTACACTATTTTGGGATACATTGAAGACGTTTGTGGGATTCTCTTGTCGAGCCAAACTATGGCTCCGGGATGCCAGAGGGAGGCATGGCTCTGGGATGCCTGACTCCGGGATGAAGGAGGGGAGCCAGGTGTGATGTAATGACTGCAAGGAACGTTCAAATCTTGCTCTCCAGATTTTCACTGTGGTTGGAGTGTTGCTCGCATCTCAAAAGTTCAAGAAACCCCACTTGATACCAGATCTCAATAAGCTCTCCACCGTCACGAGCAAGTGAATGAATGAATGAATGAATGAATGACGGCTGCCGGACACCGGCAACATACGGCGCGTGCGCGTTTCGTCGTTTTACTTAAAATACCGCCGGCGACTGCACCAATCAGCCGCTGGCATTTTGGGGACGCGAAAATGTGGAGTTGTGGCTGTGTAGGTAAAGTTGATGTATGAACGGGCATCACACAAAATGGCAATTGAATGGGTAGTGCATACAGTCAATGAATCGGTGCACACAGTGATGTAAATTTAGCCACGGCTCTGGCTACAGTTTTGATAATGGCGTGATGTATTCAGCGGCGTTCTTCAAAACGTCGACAATCCCGACCTACCCAATGAATACTGGCGCAGCCGCTTGATGCACAAGTTCGCAATTGGGGCATGAATAGACGACAGTGCGTCGGTCGACACTTAGCAATTGGATCCTCGCCTTCACGCACTTTTGTTGCCAAAATATAGCATATGACGTAAAAACTGTAAGCCGGTCGCATCCGCGTTCGCTGCTTTCGTGCCAGTGACGTATAGCACGTGCGACCTTACTTCTATCCCCATGCGAATTCCGGTTACCCTAGCCAATAAAGTGTGTCAATTTCTTGTCGTTCCGACCCCTGGCTGCCGGGATGTGGCCACAATTTCGAACGGCCGCTCTATGGCTTTGTGGTCGATCACATTTTTGGGTCGCCCGTGAAAAAAAACAGTCGGCCAGAAACGGCGTACGCCCACTTTGCTGGGCGATTATCGAGATTATTTTTGGGTGGGCCGACTGCCGTACCTACCTGCAACGTACCTGCGACGGCGACGTCGACATCACGGCTCGGTGTGATGTCACGGCTCGGGAAAACGTCACGACTCGGGGTGACGTCACGGCTCAGGGTGACGTCATGGCTCGCTGGCGGCTCAGTGCCGAGGGAAAGGGCGGCAGCGGAAATCGGGAACAGGATGGGTGCATATTTGATGTGGCACAGAGGTCTCGAGAGTACGCTTTTCTCAGATTTAGCACTGGTGTTGACACGCGCGCTGAATAGTCGGCCAAGATGGCATTTGTGTATCGTGACAGCTTTTGACAACTGTCACGATACACAAAACAAGGAGCACAAAATGACGTAACTTTTAACGGAAATGAAATACGTAGATAAGACAATAGCATTAGCCCTATTCCTCAGAAAACCAGGAAAATTGAGATATACTTAGGTTGACATTTAGGTATGATATTTATAAAACTCAATTCACTTCTGCTTTTGTCTCCATGCATGGCTCGACATCCGGTGATACTCAACACAGCAAGCAATGTATGCTGTCTGCATTTTTCAGTGTAGGCGAACTGAGGATATCAGGATGGGGAAGGGGGCAAACTTCTCTTTTTTACACTGAAATCCTAGTTTGGCATGACGTGGGTGTTCGCAGTTTTTTTCCGGAGCGCGAAACAACTTTGCATGCTGTTGATTTCTTGGTTTTACGTGTCTTCCTGGAATCATTTACCGACAACATTTCGTCACGTGCACATGTCAAGCATTGTCAAGTGTTCAGTATCAAGTATTAATGTACATATAGTTATATGACAAGGTGAGGGACCACGAGCCCTAGGGACTACCACGTGTGCATGACCGTGTTTTCCGGGAATATCATGATTGGCGCTGAATCAAACTAAACACCAAACTGAAATGCAAGCATTTTCCAATGGAACTAGGATACATGCATTCGATAGTTGGCGATGCTGGTGCTTAAGGCAATGTGTGCTGTCTGACCCTAAATTTTCGAAGAATGACCCAACGCTTGGCTCTTTTTCCTGATAAAAATGGAAAAGCAGGCAATACAACGTCATTCCAGTACGAGCATTAAAAACACAGCGCCAACGACAACCGCATTAAAAACCGAATATGTGAAGGACGCTGCGGATACACTCAGGCACTACACAAGTGAAGCAACGTTCTGAACGCATCCCCGGAATGCTGGGCTGTGGCGCCTCACGCCGGCGCTAGCTGGCTCCATCGCACTCTGGCGCCGAGCGCATCCCCGGCAGGCCGGGCTGTGGCGCCTCACGCCGGCGCTAGCTGGCTCCATCGCACTCTGGCGCCGAACGCATCCCCGGCAGCCCGGGCTGTGGCGCCTCACGCCGGCGCCAGCTGGCTCCATCGCACTCTGGCGCCGCGCTTACCTGTCGAACACGTCCAGGGAGTAGCCGACAGGCACTCTGTACTTGAGCCCCGCTGGCGATCGGTCGGCACGACACGGCAGCAGAGCTAGCGCCAGCACCGCCAGCTGGGCCAGAGCGTGGCTCCTCCTGAGGGAGAGAGCGCGGTAGCCGAGGGGTTAGGACCCGAGCCCTGCTGGCGATCGGTCGGCACGACACGGCAGCAGAGCTAGCGCCAGCACCGCCAGACTGGGCCAGAGCGTGGCTCCTCCTGAGGGAGAGAGCGCGGTAGCCGAGAGGTTAGGACCCGAGCCCTGCTGGCGATCGGTCGGCACGACACGGCAGCAGAGCAGCAGAGCTAGCTAGCACGGCACCGCCAACTGGGCCAGAGCGTGGCTCCTCCTGAGGAAGAGAGCGCGGTAGCCGAGAGGTTAGGACCCGTGGCTCCCACGCGGCGGTCCAGGTTCAGATCCCGGCTGCCTCATGGCTCGTTGGCGTTGGTATGATCCCCCACATCATTCGTTGGCACCCCATAAAAACGGGTTCTGAGGCAGGTTAGATGAGGAGTTAAGTTGAGCTCGAGGGCCAAGCCAGCTCAACACATGTCCGCACTGTCAGAACATTGCTGCTGTGCCAGTCTTGTGGTCACTCTGTATCAGATCAGGCTGGACGCGGTCATCAGATCAGTCGCAAGGACAGCTTAGCTTCAGACAGGCCAGCGCCGCCAGCATGCTAGGCATGCAAGAGAGCCTATGGTAGGTTCAAAAATCAGACCAGGCTTTTCGGTAAGGCTAGCTTAGGCTGTGCCAGATCATGTCAAGTGGCTCATCTCCCTCAGTAGATGACAAATATCAGACTGAGTCAGACCAAAACAAGGTCTTTTAAACAGCTAGGAGTCTCCAACATACGTATTTAAGCCTTGCCACCGAAAACCCCAATTACGTGCATTATCCGAGCCCAGAAATCTGCAGAGAGAAACTCAGACGATTAGGACTGATAACAAAATCTAATATGCTAGACACTTTAGATTAGGTCTGACGGACATGCTAGTCGTGCAAACCACGTCTTCATGTCATCCTATTTATTTGTTTAATTGTGCTCAGCCCGGACCACGAGTGTACCAACGAAAGGTCGAGTGTCTTAAACGTGACTAATGTTTGCTCGATAGCGACGTTCAACCAGCATCTCCCTGTACACTGAAGATCTCGACATAAGAACTCGCAGCTCATATGCCCGCGGATAGGAGCTCAAGGCCGTCTCGCTTACATCAGCCAGCGCATAAGACACATCTATCAACAAACTAAGCATTTTTTTTCAGACATGAGCTTAGTATGTGTCCCGTGACCCTGTTAACCGCTTTATCCCGCTGTGGTTTATCAGACATGTTCGTAAACATACGTTGTGAAATGACACTTCGTTCCCTGTCTTACAGCGGGGCGAAATGACCGCATTTTCTATTGCAAACACGATCTCAGCACGTCCAAAAGTAAACAGCGATTGAATAAACAGCCTATGCCGAGAAGTCACATTGTGTGAGCCATGTGCCGTCAATGTCACGCACGTGACAAAATTGATCGCTACATGTAGGTAGCGCAACCCCGTGCGCTCGCCACAACACCGAACAATGCATGTCCATGTGACAAACGATTGCACGTCGGGAGTCATGGCTGACAACATTTCAAATAACGCCGAGATATATTGTATATTCTACACACATCGAGGCAATGGACACCACGTGTCTGTCTGCTGCTAACATGCTGTACGTGTGGCGCGAAGGCGGCGGAACACTCACATGACGAGCGGTGTACGTCGGCTCCGGCCAGCTCACATGGTGCACACGAGAAGGTGTGCCGCGTCAGCTCCCGAGCTCACAGTGCTGCTCGGCGTTGTGGTCAAGCCGAGGCTCTGCGCCCCCTCCGGGAACAACTGGCCGACGGGGGCGCCACCTATGCCGTCCCGACGTGTGGCTGACTCACTGCAGCGCAGAGCTGGTGCCCCCTGTCGTGTCGTGACGTCACCCAAACCGGCCTTTGAGTGGCGCCATCTCTCTCTCTCTCTCTCTCTCTCTCTCTCTCTCTCTCTCTCTCTCTCTCTCTCTCTCTCTCTCTCTCTCTCTCTCTCTCTCTCTCTCCTCTCTCTCTCTCTCTCTCTCTCTCTCTCTCTCTCTCTCTCTCCTCTCTCTCTCTCTCTCTCTCTCTCTCTCTCTCTCTCTCTCTCTCTCTCTCTCTCTCTCTCTCTCTCTCTCTCTCTCTCTCTCTCTCTCTCTCTCTCTCTCTCTCTCTCTCCTATCTCTCTCTCTCTCTCTCTCTCTCTCTCTCCTCTCTCTCTCTCTCTCTCTGCCTCTCTCTCTCTCTCTTGCTCGTTTCTATTAATAATTTCTTGCACAGCTCAACAACCTGCATTTTGATAGTTGAGCTTAAATCTGCACCTTTCTGACGTCGGCCTTACCTTGCTTTCAGTTTTATCTACTGCTTTCTTGGTCAATTCATTGTTTTTTTTGGTAGATATCTGTTCTCATTCCTAATGTACCTTAAACTACATGAAATGTGTACTGTCTTCGAAAACATGGTATGGTATCTGGAAAATGTTTACTGGCATCGATCGGTTATACTGAAACGTCCGTATTGAAAAGCCATTCGACAGCGGCGCTCCCAGTTTGTTCTCTGTCTACTATTTTTTGTAAACGTCTCGGTGATAAGTTATTTTTCCGAATCACGGTCACTAGAATGCATTCCTAGTTTTAAAATGCATGAAGCTGAACTTGTTTGCTAGGCCCAACTCCTTCCAAAGTCTGCAGCCTTTTACCAGCAACCACCCACCTCATAAGCAGACAGCTAATACCACCCTCCAAGATCAGAAACCTTCACACTGATTTCCCAGCAGCCTTCGGCATCAGCATTACCGCAGTTCGCAGCGCTTACACCCAGCGAAATTTTAAATAGGTCAGATCACATCCCGATTACTGGTGACGAACACATCAGTTCATCAAGCAGACACGTAACAAATTGCAAACGCTCCTCCCTGAAAACAGAAGATTTTACAATCCATGAGGCTTCTGCCCGATAAACTGGTGTGTCTACGAGCAATAACTCTGCACAATGTTTTTGCGGGAAAATGTTTCTGCAAGCTCTTTTGTCTTTTGTTAAGAACAAGGTTTTACGTGAATTGGCATTTGGAAAGACTCTTCCAAGATATTGTAGCATTCTCAAATCTCTCAGTATCATGTAAACTTGATCAAAAAGATCAGTTGACGTTAAACAGTGTCTAATTTTCAAATGGTCGCAAAAGAGACCTATAAGTTCTACAACGCTTACATGATGAGTAAAATGCCTCTTCAGTGCAATGATGGCTTAATGAATTCCAGCTGAGGCCATGGGAGATCAAGTGAAGTCTTTTGTTTTGTTATTTGGTTTTTCTCCAGTTTCCAGTGCTGTTTTTCCCCGTAGGGGCAGGAAAAGCTATGCATAAGATATGTGGTACTAATACATGGCATCTTTCTGTCAAATAATCATGGCAACACACTCTTCTCAGTCATCTTTTCGGGGACTTCGCATGATTTATCAGTTGTACGTGTGAAGCACATCGCCGATCGGCGCATATATCACATTGTCATTATGTCACATCACCTGGGGTGACTTTTAATAGTGTGGTTCGTAAACAATTAAATAAGCCATGTTCTGCGCTGGCTTCAAATTCGTCATAACTTGTTTTGGCACGTCAGCGCGCCACGCTTGCGTACAGGGTTACAGGGCCATGGTTGCGTTGTAATGCATTACAGAAATGTGGTTTGCTTAGTCCTTGCAACGCCAGTTTTATTAGGCAGGAATCCAATTTTAAGCAAGTGTAAAATACACGAAAAGATAACTAAGACAACTTCCACAACATTTTAGAGAGCTCTCTTTCACGACTTAGATGACTCTTTCACTCTCGGATTGCCCCTGCATGTGGACATGGAGGTCCTGGGAAACAGCGTAGCCCTGTAGGCGGTGTAATGATCCTTAAAACCTCCCAATCACCACTCCCTCAATCAGTGAAGAATAATTCTGTCTACTCATGGCCCGTCGCTTCCGCTTGCGACTTTTGTCCGCTGGCAGCCCACAGATGTCCAGTCATGTTGTGTTTCTTTCTATTGCGTCTGTTCGGCCGGCAGTGGGACGCTGCGGAGCCTATGGGCCATTCGGGGCACAAGGAGGGGGAGCGGGCACGGTCCAGTGCCCTCCTCCCCCTCTGGAGTCGCACCTGGAAAGCAGCACAGTCCACCTGTGCTCAGCTTTGCCGTCTATGCATAGTTAATCAGTCAATACATGGTCTCACTATTAGTTCGGTGCACAGTTCACGTCGCAGTTCATGTATTCAAGCTGGGCGTCGACATGGCACAGTCCAGCTTCACGGATCGCAACTGAAATATGACTTCGCGGCGTGACAGGTGGCGATTTTCTGCACGATACCCGACCACCATTGATCGCGGCTCTGTCTAGCTCTGCCGTTGTGTCACACGAAGCGATTCGTTTCCACGGCGTGCATGGCATTTGCCGAGGCAACGCGCCAGGCGATGTCGGGAGCAGCCCGTCAAGGTTTGCTCACTCGTCGCCCGGGACCCTGGGGTGTAGCTGAGGCCTGGTCCGACGGCTCGGGCACCCTCGTGCTGGTAAGTGGGACATAAGCTTTGACGTGACGACCGAGGGCCAGTCTAGTTTGAAACTCGGGTCAAATTACAACAGATCTATGCGTTTGATTGCCAGTGCCGTGGAAACAGAGCACTCGGCTGGTGCAATCCTCGGAGCAAATTACAGCATTCCTACGTGTTGGCAATTTTTGGCACTCACTATTTGTTTGCACTCAATGACGATTATTTATCGGCTCGTCAGGTTTTTTAAAGGCCACGCTGCTGACTAATGATAGCACTAATTCTGCCTTCCAGTGGGCACTCACTGGATTGGAAGCACTGCCATGAAAACGTAGAGGTGCTGCTGGATGTTCGATTTTAAAACAGCATTACAACTGGCAAATATTAAAGGATTTGATCAGGAACGGCACGCTGATAGTGAATGGTAGTAAATGCAGTGAATAATCACGAGATGGATATTGGAGCCGTTTCCACGCATTTTGCGGACTTGGCTTGGGCTTCGTCAAAACCCTATGAATTAATTATTTGCAAGGGTCAGCCATAATCCTGTGGTTGATCCACCAAATGCGCTGCTTTTCTCGCTCCACATAAGACTTGGTGTCATGACGCAGTCTGTGAGCATTCCAGAGAAAAGGTCTTAGCATGATCCAATCAGTTTGCTAAAACAATTCCTACGGATCGCTAAGGCCATTTCGAATGAGTTCAAAGACAACCCAATGCAAAAACCTTCTTCACCATTCTACATATTCAAGAGTGTTTGCAAGACTTCAAATTTATCATGCATCTTGGTGGTTTTGAGCTGAATGCCTGGAATTCATGCGGGTGCGATCTTGGGGGTTATTGAGAAAGAAGCGATCTCTGGATTTTCAAGCCGGCGTGCCGACGCATCTGAAATCTTCCACACAGGAGTGCCGATCTGTGCAAATTAACTGGGGTGGGGAGAATCAGCTGACTCCCCAACAACCTATCCTCACCCATTTGTTTCCACATCGGATTTGGGTTATTTTATTCCAACAAAGCCTGAGCCACCTCTGCACCAGACGTCAAAAATGGCTCAAAACGAAGCCGATCCCGAAGCCATTGGAGAAAAATTGCGCTTTCGCGAGGTCGAGGCTTAAGACTGCTACGCCCGTATGCTTGAGCCGAGTGTGCATTTCTTGAAGTCATTTCTTAAAGCAAAAACATGTGGTATTTGCTGAAGCTCGAGATCTGTGATAGCCCCAGGTGTCGATTTATGTTTTTCAGAAAGCCTTATGGGAGAGAGGGACGACTCGACCACCTCCCCCATCACGGCAAGGGTTAAATGCAGCTCTTTTTGGTTTCTGCGTGGGTCGAAAAACCTTCCCATGCGGCTCAGCGAATTCAACCCCTCAGCTTATTTAGGTTTGTCGCGGCGGGGGGCCGCAAGATACTCCGATCACTACAGCATCTTCAGCCATGTTAGCCGCTCCAGCCGCTTGTGTAAGATTGGCATTATCAGGATATGTAGGACACGAAGGCCATCTCCCGGCTCGTGATATTGTCCTTGATCCTGTTATCCAGCAGGTGCAACACACGGCTGACTGAAGGCAGCTGACGCGCCCGTCATGATGCACTGGAGCACGCTGCTGCTGATGCTGTCGGTCGCGGGCCTCGCCAGCGCCTGCGTAATGATGGGTCACCGGTACGGCTGGCTCCAGGACACGGCGCTCCTCCACCCGCAGTTCGGCGTCGCCAGCTCCTGCAGCTGCTGCGCCGCGTGCCACCATCGCGCCGACTGTGCCAGCCTTTCATTCAACTCAGTCAACGGCAGCTGTCGGCTTTACAGTAGCACCGGGCACTACGGCATTTTTGTTTCTGACCACAAGAATAGGAATAATCAGTTCTTTTTTATACCGGGGAAGTCAGGCTCTGGCGAGTTCTGTAACGAGGACGGCGACTGCACCGAACCGGAAAACCACTGTCGTGGTAGACAGTGCACCACGAGGGAAACCATCTCCTGCAAGGATCTCAGGAGGCAGTACGGAACAAACATAGCTAAGGTACCACGATTCTTCATTGCCATTGGCAACGAGACAGCCAGAGTAATCTGTTGGGGGGAACGGACACAGATCTTTAGCTGGGGTGAGAACGACGACGCCTGGCAGCACCAAGAGGCTCAGCACAAGGATTCCCTCTCATCCAACCGCTTTTCGCTGCTGCGCCTCGCTGACAAGCTCGTCGCGGCGAGCGGCGCAGATCACTACCGGATCGATGTCTCCTGG